CTTGTAAGTTTAGTATATCATTTTACTCGTGCAGCTCCTTTGTGTGTATATCAGACTATGCAAAGCAGCAGACCTGGCACAAGTTGCATAAGATTAACATTAAGAAAGACTTGGAAACAAACTGTACTTCCACACAGGTTACAGGCATAATAATTCATATCGACAAAGAGTGTAGGTCTTAAGTTCCATCTTAATTTTTGCTCCTCTGTCAAAAGAATTTTTAATGTTTGTCCCTAAGTAATACATTTTCCCTTCCTGCTTCTCCTATTTTCTACCTCTTTTAACTATTTGCTCCCTCATAACCATGATTTTGTTAATAATTTTTATCCGAAGTGCTGCTCAGCATGTCTGGCATAATCTAGTGTATTTGTGAGGCGAGCAGTTCGGTAGTGGATCATGTGTTTAGTGATAAAAACTGCCAGCTTCCCCACCATTGCCCTCCCGTATTTTGCATTCCTGTCCCTCTCTGTGGCACAAAGGGTGAAACTGTTTGATGTTCTGTTCCTATCGCACTAAGATCAGGATATAGTTGGTTATTCTCTGCACCTTTCTTCTTTTTGTTGGCTTCCGACAGCCACTATCTGGCTTCATTTAGCCCTATATATTCTTGTTTCTTTTTTTTCTTTTTATTGTATTTGTATTGTTCTTCTATTTGTTGGACTAATTTAGCTTAGCTGATTATATTAATCGACCCTTGAAACCATATTTCTTTTCCCATTCTGTTAAGTATTTAACATTTTTTTCGTTCTTGTATCTCATACATTTTGCATCCCCAGTTAACTCAGATGGAGTTCCCCAACTATTTCCCATTTTGCCCTAATTTTAATGAGAAATTTTTTTAAAATTATAGTTTATTATTGTTTCATTTTATGTGGTAGTCGCTTTTTCTACCTTCTTTTGCTTTTCCTACCTAATTCTCCCCTTTTTTTTTTTGTAAGAGGAAAAGTTTATTTACTAATTTTTACTTTAGGTACCGTCACTCACACACACACACACACACACATATACACACACACACACACACACACACACACCAGCATACACTGACAATATGCAACTCACAGGCTGATCCTGCTTTTACTACGTCACAACTCACAGTCCAACTGGTCTTGTTGTGATTCAACTAGTTTATCTTTTACGTGTGCATGGAGTTATTTATTACCGTAGCCTTCTCACACGGTCTATGGACTCTCAACCTCTTATTTCCTCACTTGAGCTTTTCTTACAAAGGTTCTTGAAAATAGAAGGATGTTAACTTTTCCCTATTTCCTCACTTGGGTTGTTAATAAGATCTCGAAAATAGGAGTAAGGATCACACTGTCAATGCACGTTATTATTAGGCTTTGTTTCTCTGACCGTGTAGCAAATTGGGTTAGACTAAAATGTTGTCACATCTCCCATCATCCCAAAATACAAGTCATCACCATTTTGTCACTAACAATACGTGATTCACACAGTTTATTCTACCTTATTCCAGTGAAGTCGTGCTTGTCATCAGAAGAATCCCGTCACCTTCCACTCGCCCAGCAGATCCTGGCCTCACATAAGTCAAAACATTCCCGTATGAAGAACGCGACCGAGGGCTTTCTCAAAGGAGGACTCGAGCCTCCCCCCGTGTATGGTATCAGGTCCAAACCTGGGCGAGGGAGAGGATGTTGGGATCCTGCTTGAAGGACCAAGTTGTTAAAAGAATTTCCAAAGAAGCAACGAAGTCACTGGAATCTTTCAATAAGAGATTGGTTTACTTGCAGCAAGGAGACAAGTCAGCATAGGCATACAGAGTTGTCTGAATAAGCTAGTCTAAACATCACAATATATAGTACAATGGGAACTCCCTAAAAACGCATTAATCAAGTTGAAAAGAAGATTCAAACAGGAAAAAGTGAACTTGAGAGGCTTTGCCCTGATAACCTCACAGGTGATAAACAATATGTTGTCCGTTCATCTTCACAATATATGGCAGGAAAGAGTTTATAGCTGGCTCCTTTAAGTCTGGAATGCCATCCTAGCTGAACATATAACAACACATAGAGTACTGAAAACAAAGATAAAACATGTCCTTCAGTTCACACATGCAGTGTCTCACAGGTCCCTGTGATCTGTAGTCTGTTCTGAAAGGTTAAAATCCATTGAATAACATATGTTGGTTAATATATTGATTAGAACACAGTTTAAAACATACTTAATAATGTAATTTTCATGACAGGTGGGCAGACATTCATGGTATTTGTGGAAATAGTTTTTGTCTGTTTGGTCAGAAGACTTGAATGAAATGGCCAACTGTACCTGAAGCAAAATGAAAACAGGGAAGAGATGTTCATGTTGAACACTTTGTGGTTATGGACTGTATCTGCTAAACCACATGACTTGCAGTTGTGTGTCCACCATGATAGTCCTAATCATTTAACCCAATAAAATAAATAGATACAAACAATAACAGAATCTAGAGTGACTAGGTAAAGACTGAGCTGAATGTTTTCTGAACCGTGCTCTGTCTACCCAGGACTCTGATAGCAGATAAAGGAGACTCTCTGATCCAGTGTGCTGACTTCAGGAGCTGCTTGCCTACCCAGGATGCACCTGTGTCCTCGGGGCCGCTGGCTGTTGTACAGGGACGCAACCTCAAGTATGACAGTAATATTTCATTTCCACTTCCCACCAGCGGCACCTCGCACTCCAGATAAAATGTGCAGCTGAGCTAAATAAAACCGTGTGTGCTCTGTGCAGCGCCGGCCGTCTGGCGTCCCGCCTCTCGTCCACCCCCCACCACCTGCAGCAGAGCATGACGCTGGCCTTCCTGGAGAATCAGCTGGCATCCGCTCTGGCTCTGCAGTCAGCGCAGGAGTATCGCTGCTGGCTGCTCATCTACGCCCGCTTCCTTGTCAATGAAGGTACCGACCTGCCACCTGCTTAACAGCCTTACGCCTCCACACTGACAGAGTAAAAGCACTTTGACCATAATACTAACCAAAGCGGTGTGACTGAGGAGGAAAAACAAGACAGTGGTTTACACGCAAGGAATCAGAGAACATGAAAGTGCTTTTATTTTTCCTCTAACGGTTGGTGTGTTTTTCCTCCAGGCTCCGAGCATCGTCTCAGAGACCTCTGTAAGGAGCTGCTGGGTCCTGTCCACAGATCAGCTGCTACAGCCTGGGAGCCCACCACTCTGGTATGATACTGCACTCTGCTGGCTGCTGGTTGAGCCTGTTTCATCCACACACACAAATGACTATTTTCACACATAAAACAGCTCAGTCTCCTTTTCCATCTCGTTTCGTGTCCCGTGGCTTTGTCTCTAATTTCTTACTTTGACTTTGATTTGACTGTCTCTCATTGCCGACAGTCAAGGCTAATTGTTAGTCTTGTTTAAATCTGATGCTTATGTGAAATATACAGAATGTATGTAAAGCTCCGGGATGTTGCTAGAGGTTTGTTCTCCTAATTTGTGTTCAGGGTCTACATAAGCGGGAGCTGCTGCGGGAGGTTTTACCCGTCATTGGTGAAAACCTGCGATTCCAGAGGCTCTTTACCGAGTACCAGGACCAACTGGAGCTGCTGCGCAACAAATAACACACAGACTGACGCAGACACACACCTGGAACCAGTTTGGTTCGGCTTGGCTCGCGCGAGTAAACTCTGACTGCTTTCATCCCCTTGGGAAGCCTGAAGCTCTGCTCTGGCTGAGACCTGACAAACACATCCTGGTGTTTGACTCTGTCTGAACTCTAACAGCCAGCCCACAGCTTCTCAGTGCTGTCGCTCACAGGGACAAGTGGGTGCTTACTTTTTTTTTTTTTTTAATCATGGTTTCAGTCCCAACTGTCGTCTTTTGTCTTTTTTCCTGTTAAATGATGTTTTCTGACCTATGCACCTCTCTCCTGCCCTGCTAATCATGAACTGAAAGAGAGACGGTGAAAGAAAGGTGGCACTGCCAGTGCGCAGCATCAGCAGCCGTGTCCTGTTCAATCTGTTAGCCTCCTCACAGAGAGAGAGAGCGGAGGTGAGCGGATGTAAAGGAGCAATATGCTTTTACCAAAGCGATGCCTTCAAGTGCAGAAACAACCAGACACCTGCATTTGCAAAGTGGAGACAGTGAAGGATGTCCAGAGGTTCAGCCAGGTTTTTAAAAGCTGATGAATCTGCGTGGTGACCATGCTAATGCCAAAAAGTCAAGCCACAGCAAAACAAATGATTAATTTCAGATCAGGAGAAAAGGAGTCAAAGGAATCTGACGTGTTTGAGTAATGAAAAACTTTTTTTTTATGTTGCAGCTGCTTGCTAACACATGAGGACAGTCACACAAAGAGCACTTAAAGCAGCTCAGATGTTAGAAAATGGTGTTGCACATGAACAGGAAGCACAGCAGCTGAGTTTGTACTGACTGACTTTAAACTCTCCTGGTTTCAGACAAAGAAATCAGCTAACATAAACACAGCGTCAGACTGAATCAAAGTCAGAAACAAAGCAACAGGGTGCGGCGTAGATGAGTCACAGCTTTATCTGCAGCTGTCTGTCGATAGGCGCCACGTTTCTAGCAGCACTTTGACATCATGCCACCAGGTGTTAGACCCAGTGTGTCTGTGTTGTCTGGAAGAATCACTGCCTCCATCAGTACCTCATCACCAAGGGTTTAACATGAGTTGAGTGCTTAAACAGTTCATTGTTATTATGTTAAATGAAATTTAGAGCCAAACTCACCTTTTACTGTTTTTGTTCTGTTGTTGTCTGCAGGAGGTTCTGGTTTAGAGGAGCTTTTTGATCTGGTTTTTCTGTAAACTTCTGCCACACATGTCTGAACAGATGCATTGTAAATATCAGCTGCTGTCTCAGGGAACGCTTCCTTTCCTGGGCTTCAGTATGTCATATTGTGTGTCACAGATTTTCAAGGTGCATCATGAGCATTAATTAAACAAGTGTCTGAGGGAACCAGAGACGTGCTATAGACTAACACCACAAACTTTGCTCTTGTTAATCCAACTAAGGCTGGAGAATCTGAGATTGTAGTATTGTTGAAATCATGACTGTCTCATCAGAGAGAATAAATATTTGTAAATAAGCTGAAATCAGTCTTGTAAAGGCTAAATGACTTTTTGCTGCACCACTGTTTGCGGTATCTTTTGCAGAAACCACTGCTGAGGGGAACCTTGTTTTGTTTGTCTGACATCCATTAACTTGATGTCTTCACAGGTTTCAGAGCTCATGAAACCAGCAACACATCCATGGAGTACACATCCATGGAGTTCACATTCAGGCTTATGTTTGTGCACTCAGCTCAGTGTGTGTGTGGACGGGTGGAGCATGAGCTCACAAGCTTGTTCACTGCTGTATCTCACTGAGCTGAGTGGATCAAACAAGTCCAGAGGAAGAACTCATCCTGATTTCTATACAGCATCTTTCTCTGCTTCGTTTCTTTGTTTTTTCTTAGTCATTTTTAAATGTTTTATTCAAAGCATTTTTGTTTGTTTCCTTTTTCTATAAGAGACAAACTAAAATTGTGCTTTTGAAGAAAGGAAATTAAACAAATGAGGAGCAGCTGGGTTTTGGTCGCTTCTTCCCTGGTAGTCCTTCACAGTGTGTGTGTGCGTGTGTGTAAAAGCTATTCACAAAGCATCATAGCCCCCAAGAGAGCTCCTCAGGTGAAAAACTGAAGAGCAGAAAGGCTTTTAATAGCTTGAATGCAGGACTCCTGCTTGCAACAGTATTTTATACTGTGATATTACTTAAACAGTGTGAGTACTACTACGTGTGTGAGAAAGAGAAAGTGACAGACTGCTGGTGAGTTGCTGAATGCTGTTAGTAAAAGAAGAACCATTTAATCATGACCAAGTGAAAAGCAATGTCTCCATTGCATTTTAAGTAAAACATCACACACTCGACACATCCTGGTTTGTACAACAAAATGTTTGGAATCCTTATTGAAACTTGTTTTGTTCCAACTCTCAGACCGAGGCATTGGTTTGTCTCAGAAATCTAGTTTGGCTTTGTACCAAATTTCATTTCAGGTCATCCAGAAGTTGGAGATGTTGTAAAATCGAGTTGCTGTGTGACTAAAAAAAGTTGAGCACGAAATACTTCCCTAAAGTGACAAACTGATGTTGAAATCCCACTGGGCGTGCATGCCTTTAAATGTTTAGATTGTTCACCAGCGCCGTGCATCAGGTTCACTTTCATGGGAGACTGTGGGGAAAAAAAACACATCATTTCTGAGGAAATCTAAAGTTGAACATGCTCTTGAGCAATTTCCTGACAGGGCCTGAGCTCAGCCCCCTGCAGGCCGAGGCCTTCCTCCTCCATTGCTTTAACACACCTCAGATATAAACAGCATGTTCTGACAGTCTTTAGTTAATTATTGTGTAGAAAATGGATGTTTACATGAACTGATAAAAAAAAACTCGTTTTTCCTAGTTAACATGGACATTTCTTGTCCAAACCTGCACCTGGTGACCTGCACAATGATGAGTGTCCTCTGTGCGTTTGCTCATGGTGAGTTGCCCTCAGAAAGCTGTATATTGCTTTTTGCATTTATTTAAATGTTAAATAATCAGTAGGTTGTAATACCTGTAGTGTTGAATTCATTGAAATGATTTCCTTATTGGACATTAGTTACATTATGACATTTTTAAGACACATTCAGCTTCCAAACAGGACAAGTTGACCTTTTATATTATTTGTTGTCATTTGAGCGAGCTGCAGTTCTGTTTTCTCCTTTGGGTCATTTTTTTTGTTTTCTGGAATTAATTCATTGTAACATCCTTAAATTCAGCAGCAGAGAATTGATGCTTGATCTACTTGTGGGGGCCAGGTTATATCCTGGACTCGATAACTAATCCAGCTTTTACGACTTCTCTCCTTAAAACAAATCGTTCTGTCATCTGTGTGACTGGTTTAATATGTATGTACTGGGTGATTCTCCCTTTTCACACTGGTAAATTTGAAGTGTTTTGTGGTCTTAAGGGATAAAACCTAGCACTTTTTCCACAAAAATATTTTTATAAAGTCTTAATTCTGACTCCCAGGTTTTGAACTACTACAGTAATCGATAATCAAGATGGTAATGGTTAAATTAAGGCCTATCACGGTGTATCTGGCACTACATCTATAAATAGAAATTTATTTTCAAAGATCTGAGTGATACATTCATGTTTGTGTGGTAAAATTGGTTTTGTAGTAATTCAAAACCAATTCACCATGCAGATACTTAAGTGATGTCAGCTGAATGACGGTTGGAGACAATTTTTATGTTGATATTTTGGTGTCATTTCTAAACATCAGCCTTGTTTTTTATGGGGGTTTTGTGTGTGTGTGTGTGTGTCCAAAGTGACGGTGAGGAGCTCTGATCTCAAGCTGTGTAAACCGGATAACAAAATGTGTGTCACTAAACTTGAAGACTGTGACCCCCGACCTCCTTCAGCTGTACAGAGTGAGTGCTCACACATACACAGTAGTCAGATACAGTGGCTTCAGAAAATATTCAGACCCCTTCACTCTTTGCACGCTTTATTTACTGAATTCTCTCATTTACAAAAGTATTTAGACCCTAATTCAGTACTTTGTAGAAGTTCCTTTTGCAGCAGTCTTCTTGGGTGTGTCTGTACAAGCTCTGCACATCTGGATTTGGACACTTTCTCAAGCTCTGTCAAACTAGATGGAAGCATCTTCATTTGCCTCAGGTCACTGTTGTGCGAACCCTCACCTCGGTCTCAGGTCTTTTACAAGGACCTGTCTGTGTTTGGTTGCATTCGTCCTTCCCTCCGTTCTCAGCAGTCTGCCTGCCCCTGCTGCTTGAGACAGCCGTCCCTCAGCAGCTTCTCCATCTCTGCAGAGGACTTCTGAAGCTCTGTCAAAGGGACCGTTGGGTTCTCAGTCTTTTTCTTGCCTGGTTACTCTAGGAAGAGTCCTGCTTTAATCAAGCTTGAGCCCATGAGAACGACGTGTTGTTAAAACATCATTCTCCTGTTGTTCTGCAGAGATGTTGAACATGTCCTGTCACTACCAGATATCACTCAAATCTGTGACTTGTGCGTGGAGTGGGGAGTCAAACAGCCACACTGAGTCCGTCATCTCACTCATCTTCAGCAGGTAAACACTGGCCACAGGTACTGAAATTCATTTCTGAAGTTAAACTCTAATTATAGACTCTTGCACAAGATACACAAGTGCTAATTTATCACCCAAGAAAAACATGTAAATTACCTTTTTAGCTTTAAATCTCAGTTTTAGATGTACTGGGTAGAAATGTGTGAGATGTTGTAGCTGACTTCTCTCCTTTTCTTTCTTTCACTTCTCCAGTAGGAATGATATCATCTTCTGTGGGGGAATCTTCAACCCATCAGTTGTCCTCAACATAACAGCCAAGATCAGAAACTACATGGTGGGGAATGAGATCTGGTCCCAGCCTCACACAGTGCATCTCTATGATGCAGGTGAGCAGCCCACAGGCGCGACTGTTGGGCTCGTGATGACTGCACTGCCCAGTAATGATACAAATCCCCTCCTGTCCATGTCTCCTCTCCTCAGTCAAACCCTCTCGGCCTGTCCTGACTCTAAATGGCTTCACTGAGGACTCTGTGGTTGTGTCTTGGAACATCAGCAGTGATGGCACCTGTCGACTTCGCTACAGACTCAACAGCACTCAGACGTGGTCTCAGGTTAGTGTTAGATGAGATAGGGAGTATGACTAGAAACATTTTCTCAACATGGGCGATAGGTGGCCATCAAATATCACGAGTTTTTATCCTGTGTGTTTTTGCTGTCTCTCTTTTGTTTCCAGGCTCCAGATTCTGTTGCTGTACATGCAGATCAGATGCTGAGGTACACGTTCAAAAACCTCCTGCCATTTAGCATCTACAGAGTTGCTGTGGCCTGCAGGGAGGAGTCGGGCTTCTGGAGTGACTGGAGCTCTGACGTCACAGCCAGGACGCTGGACAGAGGTACCAGTTTCCATTCAAACACATGGAAAATCATAGATTGGACACAGTGCGGGGAGCAGCTGAGACTGGGATGATTTAAATACACTTCTGCTTTGTTGCCAGTGCCGTCCGAGGCTCCAAAGGTGTGTTACAGAGTGGAGAAAACAGACTCTGGTGGACCAGTTCTCCTTCATCTTATGTGGAAGGTATGTTGAACATACTTGGAACAGTCACCTATAAAACTGGGTTCCTTTTCATCTTATAATGATGCAGTAACTCATCTGTCAGCATCAAATCCTTTCTTGAATTATCCTCAGACAATCTCAGGGACAGCAACCATTAAAAAATAGACTTAATCTTTGCAAAGTGTCCAAGAAAGTAATGAAATAGTCAAAGTCTCAGCTATTCATCCCTTAAAGATTTAGCTGTTTGTCTGGAGAACAGCACCCTTTGTTTTTTGCCTTAAAGCAGGCCAAGAAATTATGTACAAATGTGGTGGGCCTGTGGCTCAAAATCTGAAGTACAGGGAACTAGCAAAGAGGAGACAATGACAACAAATACCATGTCATAACACTGAATAACCGTTTTTCTCCAAAAAAACAAGAATAAAGCTTAGGAAGGTAGTCTTTGTCAGTTAAATTTACAATAAAATGTACATCTTCTTTATTCACAAAAAGCTGGACCACCATACGAATGTGGTATAAATGATATTGTTGGAAATACCTCATCTGTCCTCAGGCTCCTGACCTCCATGGTACTGGAGGTCGTATCCTTGGATACCAGGTGAGCTACAAGCCAGTGAAGAACCAGCAGCCACAGGACACATCGATTCAAAACATCACAGAGGTGATGGCGCCCCTAGTGGTGGAGGAGGGGAACTGGAGCGTCACAGTGACGGGCTTCAACACGGCCGGGTACGGACCTCCTGCACATCTCAACGTCGACACACAAAGACACAGCCGTGAGTGGCACGCTGATTATCACTCTATAAGTCATCATTTTTTGGTTTCATTAATGGTTAATAAATTGGTTGCTAATGCTTTACAGATTTGTTATGTGCCATTAAGATCAACTTTTAGCTTGCCAAGCTGTGGAGAGTCCTCCTTCAGCACCACATGCTGTTAGCATTGAAATTCATTAGAGACCTCTGCGTGTCAGTAAGCCATAAATAAAAGATGGTTTATTTCTCAGTTAGACATCAGCAAAAGTTAGCACCACCTATAAATGTAAATAAATAATCCATCAAGTCTGTAGTTATAATTGTTAATCAACTTATAAATGTTGGTCCAGATGTCCTGCAGCTGTTTTCCAGAGAGTAAGTGGTCAGACAGCCCCCTGGAGAGGTGATGAAGTGAAGCTAACCTTTGCATGGACAATTTCCACAACCTGGCAACCCAAAAGTTCTTCTTCCACCCATTCATTATCTATATGGCTTATCCTGAATGGGATTGGGGGGGCTGGAGCCAATCCCAGCTGACACTTAGCAAGAGGCGGGGTCCACCCTGGACAGGTCTCCAGTCTGTTACAGGGCTGACATGTAGACAAACAACCACCCACACTCATTCCTATGGGCAATTTAGAGTTTCCAGTCAACCTAAGCTGCATGTCTTTGGACTGTGGGAGGAAACCGGAGTACCTGGAGAGAACCCACACAGGCACAGGGAGAATATGCAGACTGCACACAGAAAGGTCTAGGGTCGGTAGGGGCTCGAACCCAGAACCTTCTCGCTGTGAGGTGACGGCACCAACCAAAAGTGGTTCTTATGCTCTGTAAAGTGTTGGTCAGTGATGTATTAAGTGGTAATAGAGATGTTAATTACAGCTTATAAACATTTTAGAACCTGTGTTTTCATGGTTAAATCTCGGTGATGTGTTGAGGTGCAGATGTTGACAAGACACTGAACATTCTGCCTCTTACTGGACTTGACTCTTAATCATCTGCTGGAGGACTAAAATCAAACCAAATAGCATGATAACGTATGGCCCACGGCACTACAACACTACAGTAAAACACACACACCGCTGGCAATCATGATAATCATCTTTCAGCCTTTAAGCTGACACTGTGCACAGCATGTGCTCTCCACTTTCTGTGCATGCTCTCCTATCAGAGAAGGAAGTGACAGAGCAGAGATGTGATGTTCAGATAAAACTTGTTGCAACACAAATGTGAAATGCTGCAGCATGTGGGATGGGGTTAGCAGGAAGGTCAGGCTGCAGGGTGGCGACTATGAATAATCATTGTGCCTGATGATAAAATGATGATTCAGTCTCTGTGAACATGATGCTGATGAAGATGCAGGCAACCATCGTGTTCGTTTTAATCACTAATAATCCTGTTGTTCTCTCCGCAGCTCTCCCCTCAGTTAGAAACCTGTGGGTTTCCAGTTCTTTCCCATCCATCAGTGGCCTTCAGGTGCAGTGGGAGAGCTCTGCGGCCCCGCCTCCTGCCCCGCCCATAAGTCACTTTGATGTCCAGTGGCGATCTGAGATGGATCCATCCAACAGCCGATGGGCCACAGTGGACAGCCTCAGTGCCTCCACTGTCATACCAGGTACAATCTTCACCTGCTGAATCATTTCCTCACCTTTAGAAAACTAGACCACAGGACGAGAGCCTTTCAAAGCTTTTTAATGGGGAAACAAATCCAAACGAGGAAACAAGTAAAAATGTGTTAAGACTCTGGCCCTTGGCCATAATAATCTGTCACGTGACAGCCACATATGATCAGCTTCTGGGCATCAGCTGTGTGTTTGGTTGCTGTTTGAGGCAGCTGCAAACACCGAGCTCTTCCTGCAGCTTCTTCACAGTAAAAGCCCTCCAGCAGAGATGTGTGGTTATGAGTAGCAACACTTTTACTGTGAAACAGGCAGGACAGAAGAAAACTAAATAAAAATGTCCAGTGAAGGCCCAACTCACTTTTCATTTGAGGTGAATAAACATAAGCAACGGTGTATTGTGTTCCTATATATATTTACAGGATGTACAGTGAACTGTGTGTGGTGCGTTTACAGACGTGGACCCTGATGAGTCCTACCTGATCAGCGTGTTCCCCGTTTACGAGCAGCAGTGTGGGCCTCCTCAGTCGCTGCCTGCCGGTCTGCAGCAGGGAGGTAAACACAGATTAGACAGGCACCCCCAGACTGTAGACGCTCTCCAACTTTAGCCAGGATTTCATCGTTTTTATTGAAAAACTTGTCATCAGAGTAAATTGAAAGATACTAAAATTTGGCACATAAATTTGAAAATCTTTCAACTCAACTATTAAAACTAGAAAAAGAAAAGTTCTCGACATTTGAGCTCTTTTCTGGTGGAAAAAGTATTAGTATTATTACTTGTGTTTTTCTAAGAACATTTCAGTCAAGTATGAAGAATTTTGTTTTGAGCTGATACTGCTGTTTGGTTTAGGTTTCATTCCAGTGGGATTTCCACAGAAATGTAAAAATAAAAAGTAATTTGGGTGAACTGATCCTTTAATTTGCACCATGGCTATCAGTGCTTTAACAGAATGAACTGATCCAGACACGTCTCACTCACTCCCTTGTGTTGTTCTCTCAGCTCTGATGGAAGTGGTCAACCTGAAGGTGGTTGGTGTGACCAAAACTACGGTGACGGTGGAGTGGGCGTGGCAGAGGAAGTCAGGACCAATCAGAGTGAACAGATACAGCATGATGTTGAGGACAGACTCAGAGAGAAGGAGTAGGTGAACAGTTTTCTTCTAAGCATCAGCCTCGGGTTAATTCTCCAGTTTAAGTCACAGTATAATACAAACATGCCTGTTCATAGCTAATGTTACTGAAGATCACAGGAAACCAGAGGTTGTTTTGTCTCCATCGTCGTTCTAAGCACGTTTTTGGCATATAAGATGCAATTACTTGTGTCAGGAGAAAGACGAGTCTGAAGTTTGTCACCAAACAGAAACAGAACATGAGTTTCTCTCCTGTGCAGCACTGCCTTTGTGGCCAGACCAGCAGCGGCACACCTTCCCCGACCTGAAGCCCAGCACAGAGTACTCTCTGGTCCTGCTGGCTGATAACATTTCCAGAAGCATCACCTCAGTCAGAACAGATTTTGGTGAGTATCACTGGTTGTTCTGAAGAGGTTTTGTTTTTAAGCTCTTGATGCAGATCTAAGAAGTGTTCTGTAATAATCCCAGTGTAGAAACCAGTTGAACTACTGGATATTATATATTGTTTTTCAGATGAGTTCCTGGCGGTGGCCACGGCGACACCTCTCTTGCTGCTGTCTGTCACTGTGCTGATCATCTCCATCCTGTCCAGGACTGTGTGAGTCAGCGCACACGGTCACATCTGAGTGCTCCTGCTACGTTGGCATCTCTGTCATTTCATGCCTTGAACAGGAAAATCACAACACACATCATGTCTCTTTCCAAAAATGTGATCAATCAGCCAAAGATTTCTTTTTAAGAATTATCTTCTTTCTTAACTCCCAACTGTCTAATAACATTTCATCTGACTTTACTGAGCAGGTACAAGTGGTACTTCTTCCCGCCCATCTCCAGCCCTAAGGGCAGCACCACAGGCCAGTGGCTGATGGACCCAAACCACCAGGTGATCTGATTTTTACAGCTGGGTTTTCTTACAAGTGGTTCCTGTGAATGTAGCTCCAGGTGAAGAGATGCTCGGCTCACTGCTCGGCTCACGCTTACTGTGCAGCCAAGTCCAACTAGGTGCAGAAACAGCCATTTAGAACTGAGGCTCAATATTTCAAAGACCCAATAAGGCAGATGAATGTCGAAAGTTAAAGTTTTATTTCAAGGAAATTCTTAAAACAAGTCAGTTGATATATTCCATAAATCTCAGACTGATAACATTGGTTGTTTTTGGCTCGTCACCATAAAACCGTCAGGATCACATCATTTGTTTCTCACATTTGTTGGATTTAGCATCATTCAAACCTTTATTTGTTTTGGTATTTTCAAACCTGTGTTGAATTTCACCTCACTAATCAGGCATTAACTTCTTAAACTCTTTATTTTGTTGCATATCCTGAAATTTAGGGGAATAATTGTCCCTGGCCTTGGGAATTATGTTGACAAAACAGTTCCAACGTATTGTCCATTTCTGGCTTTACCACTGCTTTAACCACATCACGTGGTCTTCATCAGTGAGATAGTTGAAAGCTCTAGAAAAGCCTAGTAAGTGGACCTTGAATTGGGATTTGTTTGTCTATTTAGCACTTGTAATGACAGACCCATTGCTCAGTTCTGCTTTACCCCAGTGTGATTTGATCAGAAATCTAATATAAACTTTTCTTTATCAGCAAAACTGTTCTTTCCATAAACTAGTTAATCAAAATCTCATCACTTATTCCCTTTGAAAGAAATCTGCAGAGAGAAACATCCTGGAAATCAAAGACTTCCTGGAGACAGATATACTGGGAGAGAAAAGTGCCATCGTGGTCAGACCCAGCAGTGGGCTTCCATCAGAAGAGAGCCTAAATGAAGACACCTCTCTGCTGCCGCTCGCTCACCTCATCATCAGACTGTCATCAGTCAAACTGGACACGGAGTATGTTTCTGACACTCTGCAGGTGCAGCTCAGTCATCCTGACAGAGCGGTCCAGCCTGAGGAGAGCCTGCTGCACCGTCAGGCACATGGAGCCAGCAGCTGGTTTCCTCGGCAAGAGGAGGAGGAGAACGGGCAGCTCGGCCTTTCTCAGACGTCATATCAGGAACAGATTAATGCTGTAAAATGTGATTTTCATCAGTTTGTTGCTAATGCAGACGCTCACTGTGCTTATCAGATGTCCTGTGAGGCAGAGTATGTAGCAAACGCTTCCTGTGTGGTGAAAACCGATGTTGAAACAGTGAGTGCCCAAACCGGCTGCTCCTATCTGATCTGTGAGACTGAGTATTTGGCAAACAGCTGCTTCACTGCAGAGAGCGCCAGCAGCGCCGGTGATGCATGCTAAGTGGAAATACAAGACCCAAAAGCTGAAGCTCAGCTAGTGAGCCTTCTGGCTATAACATCCATCACACGGCAGAAAACCCGGCCAGTTTGTCCTGTTGGTGGCGCCTCTCTGAAGAAGTTTATTCATTCTGCTCATGTCTGTTTGCCTGGTTTGACTTTATATGGAGTGATGCCACCTCTCACACTGTTTGTGTTCATCCTGGCACACTGTCAGCCTCAGCTGTACTCGGGCTCAGCTTTGCTCCGAGGTCTGTACTCACATTAGGATGCTAACATGCTTTCAGCTCGCCTGTTGAGATGCATGTACACCTCTAGTGTTAACATGATGCTAGCTGTCACACGGAGGCCGACGACCAGTCTGTGTGGAGCAGCAGCCTCCCGACATATACATAAATGTTTTTGTTGGTTTATTTTTTAATATTGGTGTTTTGCTTTAATATTAAAATGAGCCATGTATAATGTGAAAATGGAAATTGTGCAAAGAGGGTTTGACATGTACTTGTGTCATCCTGTCATCCACAGTTCTGTAACTCAATGCAAGCACTAGTGTTATTTAACTTGTTTCCAATAAATCAAATACTGCACTGTCACGCTACTCATAAGTCTTTGTTTACAGAAGAATAAATGCCAGTAAACCCCAAAATGACAAAGGCGGGCAGTGAGGAGCATTTTTGTCCTCTTTTCCTTTTACCATCATCAATTTAACAGTTACAAAATGATGCGCTCCTCTTTTGTTTCTACTGAACAAAAACCATGATCTGAAGAGGACCCTGGGTCTGACCTTTGCTTCCCCCCGTTGGATGTGTGGTGTAATTGCATCTGCATGGTAAAGGCTATGTTTACAGCTGTGTCCACGTAGCTTGTGTAGAGTATGAAACAAATATTTGGAGGCGCTAAAGGTTGGAGCTCGTTCCGATCCAGTGTCTGATCAGCTGGTGGGCGATGGTCTGTCTGGGAGGGAGGCTGAAGGCTGGACGGACTGCTCTGAACACGGAGTCAATCACCTGAACAAATGAGGAAAAGGTACATTTCTGTCTTTAAATAAGAAAACTGTGTCCTCACTAAACTACGACATTTTCAGATTGTGTTTATGAAGATCTCGATGTTGTCTTTGGTCAGAAAACAAACCGTTCATACGGTTCTGTCTCCTCCTGCACCGAGTCATAAATACCACGTGTCAACCAGATGATCAGAGATAGTAGCAGCAGTATTTGATACTAGTAATAATATTAGTATTAGTTGTGCGAGTGGGAGCAGTAGAATGTGATGTTTTTACTTGTTGCCGTGGGAACCACCGAGCCTCCTCGATCTCGTTCTTGTCCACCCTGATGTCAGTCGACACGGCGACAGCGAGGCAGCCGATCATGAGGTTGGAGGGCATTGGCCAGGGCTGGCAGGAGATGTACTGGACCGGTCCGACCTTGACCCCGCTCTCCTCCTCCACCTCCCTCCTCACCGCCTCCTCGATGGCCTCCCCTGCAGGGACACGGGACACAGAGGAGTACATTCTCTTGTCTGGCTGCACTGTGAAGTGGATCCCTTGAAAATAATTTTTTTAAATAAAATCACTGGCTGCAAACTTCCAAAGTTTGAGATCACAGCGAGTTTTTCCACTTCCCAGAGCCCCCTGGAGACTTTGTTCACATATGCATGAGGACTCCCCACCTCCTGGAAAGAGACTGTCAGTGGAGTTCTCAACTGTGAATCATTTCCCAAAAAGAGCCGGGCTGTGAGTGTGTAGGATTAGGGTCAAGTGCATGTATAGATCTACATTTAAAGTGCAGGGTGTGTGTTAGTTAATTACCAGGCTCTATGAATCCAGCCAGACAGGAGAACATCCCAACTGGAAAGATCTTCTTCCTTCCCAGTAAACACTGGTTTCCATCAGGGTGGATCACCAGCATTATGACCACTGGGTCTGAGAACACACACAGGACAGAGAAGCTGTGTTTATGTCCAAAAATATAGTTTAGTTTATTGTCACCGACTTTGTAATTAATATAACGGATCTTAGTCTTTTAGCAGCTCACACTACTGCTTTCCTTTTTTTAGCTTGGCTCAATCATTTTGTTTATACTGTTTTATGCTTATGAAAAGTTTGGAGCTGCAGCCGACGATTGTCAGTTCATTGATGAATGGACTGGTTGAAAATAAGTCAGCTAAAGGGAAAATTCCCAAGAGTTTACAGACCCAAAACACCTGCTCTGCCTGTTTTTCACTAGTACATGCACATGTCTATTGAAGGTGGAGGTCGTTTTTTGAACACAGCTAATACCCTGCAGGTTGAAGGTGGGGTGGGGGCAGAGCTTCTTACCCACTCGTGGGTAGCAGGTGTTGTGCACCCCCTGCAGGCTCTTGCAGTCCGAGTTCAGGCAGCTCCTCTTGTATCCTCCCTCCTCCAGCTTGGTGCTGCCGCCGCATGTCGGGCAGACGCTGTAGCGGCTGGGGCGACCGAGCCTGAGCCACCACACCTGCACGGAACAAAAATTAATTAGCCGATTGAATATGGGAGTCTTATTAAATGTGTTGTTGTATTCAAGACCACATAAAGATGCCTCTTCCTCACCGGCCTCCTCTTCGCTGAGCGTCAGCAGGTCCCTGTTGGGCATCTTTGGGAAGGAGCAGTTCTCGCTGCAGCGTTTAAGAAGTTCAGCTGAGTCTTCAACTGAGCCAATGGCAAACCAAGCAGGAGGCTCCCAGGTGCCCTCCTGTCTCTGAGAGGACCGGGAGGGTGAAGAGGAAGAAGAGGGCTTTTTCCGTTTTTCCACTCCTAGGAAGATGAGGACAGTCGCTGGCTTCTGAATGAGGTCTTTAACTGCCTCATATCTGAACCGACACAGCTTGGCCTCGACCTGTTAAGAGACAGAGTCACAGTCATTGGACAACGGTGTGAATATCTGATGTGAAAAATTCAGGCTGACTAATAAATGTAACAAGCGGCAGTGTGCACTGAGTAGGACAAGTTTAAATGCTGACTAGTCAAAATTTTACTTAAGTACAGTACTTGAGTAAATGTACTTAGTTACTTCCCACCACTGATTATTATATTTCCTTATCAAAGCCAAATACAAGTGCACTTCTTTATGCAGATGATGTGGTACTTTGCCACTCTCTTTGCTAACATGCTACAAACCTGATTTTAACCAGTAACAGCTCATATTAAATCCATCCTCACATCAGTCACAAACAGGACTACTCAAGGTTTTGGACTTTTCTCTGACAACACATTTAATTAACCAAAGCTGGGGTACAGTGAATTGTAAAGGGTTTGAAGTCCTGGATGCTAGTCATCACCTAAACTCCATGTGTTCTTGAAAAAGTTGACAGTCCATCTCCAAGTATTAAGAACATGTCCCTTTGCACCTGTTAATATCGGAGGCGGTTCTTAACTCAGGACGGGCTGATGCTTTACATACCATGACTCAGTTTTAATATTGATAAAATGCTGCTTGTAGCTTTTATACTGCTAATACCTGTGAGACTTTACAACAAATCCAACTGATTCATTTGGACTGGTTTCAGGAGAAATCTGTACAGGTGGCTCAGCAGCTTCCAGTCCAAAGCATCAGCGACATTTCCCTTCAGTCATGTACCCCTGCACTGTCACGCACCTGGGAGCTGCTGACCATAGGACTGAGGTTGGAGAACAGGAGGTAGACAGTATGTGGGTCGCTCTGTTTGGCCTCCAACCAGGCCTGGTCAGTCCTCTTCCCGCTCAGCCGGTCCAGTGTCTCCCTGCTGAAGTAGTTTTCCTGCTGTGTGGGGTCAGAGCCTGGTAGGACTCGCAGGCAGCCGTCGTCAGTTCGGCCCAGCAGGTTGGAGACGTGTTGGTGGCCCCAGAACTTGGCGATGTCGTAGGCGGTCTGTGACGAACTGTTCACTGAGAACTTGTCACAGCTGAAGATTGAAAACAGAGATGAGGTTAGAGATTCCAGGAGTCCGCCCAGCCAAGACTGTAGGTTTTGTTTACAAAGCAGAGGGGACACAGTGCTAGACGCATTTATCTTAACCTAGCAAACACACACTGTAATGAAACTAGTCCAAAGATGCACTGACCCTGAATACTGTTAGTTTTACTGATAAAGACACGACAGAACACACTTCACACACATCACAGACGTCACCGGTGGATTTAACAGCTAAAGTTTTTACAGCCACCTTTCACACCTGTGAGTGTTGTTTTATACTGAAAACAACATTCTGAGTGCACTGACACGTCCATGTGTTTCTTTCTGTACCCATGTGCCAGCAGCTCCTCCACCACGCTGTAGTGCCCATTGCGAGCGGCGAGCATCAACGCCGTCCAGCCGCTGTATCCCGTCTGGTTGATGAGCGCGGGTACAAGGGTCAGCAGTGTGGACACCTGGGTTAGATCTCCTCTGGCTGCAGCATCCAGAAACTTCTCCACCATGTCCTCCTGCGCACTGAGCTGGAAGCTCGCCATTCTGGCTGCCTGGGAGAAGACGAACCTCGCATTAACAAACGCAAACCGATGAAAACAGTTCAAACTAAATGTCATGTGCAAAATATCCAGGAATTCTAAAGGGTTTAAACCTATGACATGTACTGATGCAACCTGGTGACGACAGTGCACGCAGATTTAATCCAACTCATTCAATGCAATCAGGGACCTGGCCATCACTGAGGTCACATCTGGAAATTAGGTTTGGGTTTTAACAAACTGGATGAATCTACAAATAACAGCTACACAGAGTTTATCAGATGATAACACTTTTATGACTGTGATGGAAAACTGGTAGTGTGGAGAAGTCTTTAATTTACTGACTTGATCAAACATTTCATGGACATTTTCCAGAGCTCAGACTCAAGACCTCGGGAGTGCCAGAGATGTAAACAAACCAAAGGTGTGTAGGTGTCTTGTCAACAAGGAAACCTACATGACGGCCATTTCTGTTCCACAAAGAACAAATTAGTGGGCGTCCCCATTTGTGTTAGTGTCTTCATTAAAAGACATTTAGACATCAAATTAAATGCAACACAAAACATGATTCACATCATTTCATTTGTTTGTTACTAGTTTAAAGAATTAAGTGGACTCTCTATACCAGCCTCCCTCTCTCACTTTCAGACTTGTGAAAGAAAAAAAAAAGAGTTAATCTCATAGTTTTCTGCAATCAGACCAGGTCTAGCCCAAACTCAACAGATCTGGACTAGATTATTGCAGAGAAGTTAAATGACTGCTGTATACACAGTATGCACTTTGTTAAACCTGTGTTAGTTATGGAGATAAAATACTATCAAAAATGTGACAAGTCTAAGCACAGCGGTGTTTGAGGCAGACCTATGTGGTCTGTCTTAAAAAAGGCAGTGAAACTTCCCTTTTATTAGGTAGAATAAAGGTTTCACAGACCTGAAACTGTTTTAAACAGCAGCCACAGGTGGAAAACAACTAGCCTACTGAAGTGAAGTATCTGTACTTTACCTGAGTACTTCCATGTCCTGCTGCTTCATACTTGGACTGGTTTTTGGACTTTTTATTGCACTACATGTATCTGTTAAGTTCAGTTCCTTTTCAGAAACAAAATCCAGCAGAATCAGACTCTATTGAGTCTATCGTACCCAGCAGGATGTAAAGTACTTCATAGTATAAGGTAGTTACCATCAGCTCCACCTTTACCAGCTGCAGCATTAAAGTGATGAACACAGTAATTAGTCACTATGATCTAATAACAGCGTATAAAAGTTTTACTTAAGTACCTGTTTGAATGACCTTTACTTGTACTTTTACACTGTGGTACTGGTACTTTTACTTCAGTAAAGATGCAGCACCACTAGTGTCGGTATCCAGGTGAAGCAGCTCGGTTGTTATGACCGTCCATAGTTGCAGCTAGACACTGTTTAACTGTCACACCTGGAAGTAAAAGTGTCACAGGTGAAGGGAGCTGACGTGTCGACAAAGTGAAAGTGGTGAGAACCAGCTCTGGAGGTATCGCCACGTCCTGGAGGAACCAACGTCATCACATCAGTTCCGCCGCTCTGCAGAACTCGGAAGAAACCGTTTCACATGAAATATGATGAAAATCTCACCTTCCCTTCACCTCGGAGCTGTGCCCCCTCCGACCGGAAGCGGTTCGCCTGCTGCTGGGGAGAAGCGGAAAAGCCCGCGAGGTGCGTTCAGGTGTCGCTGGCTAGTGCTGCCTTCACGTACCGCAGACTCTGTCGTATTTCTCACACTAACTAACACAGTACCCAACTGTCTTTTCCACGTGACAAAACCACCAACAGGTTAGGAAACACAATGCGCATGTTTTATTTGAGAAGGTCACCGACACCCGTCCTTCACAGTTCGGTTACATTTGTTGTATCTTTTAAAATTAAATACTTTTGTTTGGGAAACAGGTTTAGTAACTCAGATGTCCGAGTTTTCGCTATACTTGACAGTTAACTAGCCAGCGGTGTGCCGGCACCTGGCTCAACAAGGAGGAGAACACCTGGTTTGTCTTTTTGTGGTTTTATTGAACGCAGTATGGAGAGAAATGAAAACGCTGTCCAAACTGGCACCATGTGCTCTCTAAAGAAAATAAAGAAAGAATAAACAACACACTCCCTGAACCCGACCAAGTGCCGCGCCAATGAACACAAACTCACACACCCACCTGTCACCCCTCTTATACTCTCCCGTACTTGTTCCTCCCCCCATCCCACATTGGACAGAACAGCGCGGGTATTTCACTAAAACAAACGGTAACCAATACATGCACAGCTGTCAACGACAGTGTCAAACCCATTTGCACAAAACAGAACACACGAACAGGGTCGCCACAATATGTAAACCTTTTGACTTTTTGTCTGGTTTATTTTGTCATTACTGTAAAGGGGTTCAAAAATGTAGGATTTTCCAAGGAGCCTTTGAAAGGAGAACACTTGTTGAGTTGTGTTCTTGATAGAGACAGACATGTTATTTTATTTTGGTAAGCAGCCCTGTTAAATTGTGTGTTTTTTGCTATGTAACAAATTCCTGTGTATATGTCGTAGCTCTAGTTTGTTTCTTTTTACGACACTTGTTTTTCTTTTCGACAGTTTATATACAACTACTGACTGGGGAATTCTCTCTCTTGTACTTTTCCCACGGCGACTGATGGAGTGTTACCAGTTGTGCTGTGAAGACGAAATAAACTTGAACCGTGAGAACTATACAGTGTAATCCCTGTGTATTATGGCGAATGAAGCAGAAAACCCAACAACTCTGCTTTGCAGATTCAGGTTTATTAATGAGTGTAATAAACAAATCGGCTAAAGCTAAAAACTGAACTAAAGGCGAACCAGCCCAAACTAATACTGCTAATGTAAATGTGAGCACCGCTGCAGCTAGCAGCTAGCAGTGTAGCACCTACACTTCTGAGAGTTTCAGATCATTACAGTAATCAATTTAACTAAATCTTCAGTGTTTTTTTAAAGCTTATTTGTATTTGTTCAGAATTCTCTGGTTTGCAATTGTTTAAAAGAGGAAAACAATCTACCCCCTAAAAAGTATGATAAGAAAATCCTGCAAAAAACCTGAAAAGGATTTAAAGATGGGGCCTGTGTTAAAGTGAGCAATGATTTTTCATCAGTTTTGAACCAGCTGATCATCATGTTCTTAGCCCACACACACACGGTCATGTCCCTAAAAGATTTATTCATTAAAACATATTTTCTGAAATCAGAGATTGGAAGATAATTGGGTTGACCTTCCCACTATAACACCAGATTTTTAAAAAAATATTTGAGGTCTATAGAAGTAAAACTGACCCATAAAGACAACCATAAACAGGCTCAACGTGCATGTGGTTTAGTTGTTATTTTAATAAAATAATGTACAAAATAATGTTACCAGAAATTGTCTCTCACAATTTTACACCCAGTGAAAAAACACTTACTGAAAACCAACAAACAATATGAATCATGATTTTATCATTATAAACAAACCTTAAGACGGGACATAAGTTAATATTAACCACAGTTACTACAGGCTGTTACTGTTAGACAGGAATGAAATGGCCATCCAGCGCTGAGCAGCTTGATTAACCTGTTAATTAAAAACTGACCTAGAAGCTGAACGGAAGCACAAAATTAGACTTTAAACCCTTTTCCTTTCACAGCAGGTGAGTTTCAGATCTGTGGCCCTGAACTAAAAATCGGATGATGTTGCTGTTCTTGTGCGTCTGTGAGCGGTGTATCACTGCAGGGATTATGAGAAAAGGGGGCCCGCACTCCTTAGGACCCCTAGACGAGCGTGGTCACGTTGTTTGTGGTGGTTTTGTGTGTGTTGTTTTTATGGTTTGGTCTTTTTGAAGTCATTTAGATTTTTTTAAAACATCTTTATATGGTTCTTTTGTCTCTTTTTATTTTTGTTTTGTCTTTTAATTGAGCTCCATGACTTTCAAAATAAAATATGCTACTTCAGCGGCCCCTGACCTCTCGGACTGTCCAGCCAGTAATCCATCCTGTGGTAAATACGCTGTACATGGAGACCAACACGCAGCATGGATTTGTGTGTGTTAGGAGTAGAAGGTAAGGACGCTCTGGTGGTTCCCTCGCACCAGCAGTAGAGGGGGGAGGTCTTTGGACAGAGTTTCCAGCCAGCACATGTAGAGGGCGCTGGACACCGTGCCCTTCCTGGCCAGAGGCATGCTCCTGCACACAGGGACAAGGACACAGCCCTGGTCAGTGACCACTTTGTGCTTTTCTAGGATGAAAAACTGTGTGTAGAAGATTTATTCACATTGTTGCACAGGAAATCAACAAATCTAAAGTCCTCCACTTAAAAGTTCTTTGCTTATTGTTGTTTGTGTCCAGCAGCTAAACTTTTGAAATGAACAATATTTACAAGTAGATGAAATTTTAACAAGGTAATTTAACTCTTTAGTGGCTCCATCACTACAAGTGCAAAGTGATTAGAGCAGCTTGGAAGTGAGTGAGTGCTGATGCTCTTCATCAGCCTTAAACAGACAAATCTGTGATTCGTTTGCGGCAAAAAGAAGCAGTGAATCTGCAAAAACGAAGCAGGAAGAAAGAATACAAAAAAATGGGATGAGCTTTTATCTGATTATTTCCACGTTATAATTGTTGGTCTACATGTCTGTACTGGTAGGAAGAGTGTGATAACATCTCTGACAAATTTCTGTCTTGTCAAACTACATATTTTCATATGGCCCAAAACTATTTTCAGGCATTTTGAGCTGACGTCATGTGTCGCTATCACCTTTGCTATGTTAAGAAAAGCTGGAAACACAACGTAGTTCAGAGAAACTGCTAAACACTCTCCATATGAAAGTAGAAATCCCTAAAGACAGGAAAAGGTTCTTCACACCTGTTACCACATGGCATTAGAAGAACCTTCTTAGTTTATAGTAGAACTGCAGCTGTGAATAAAACAACGCTTACATGACGATGAGCTTGGCAGTGCTGGAGTGCTCCTTCAGCAGCTCGTTCAGTCGGATCTGACGGTTGGTCTGAAAGCCACAAACATCATGTTAACACAAACCTCTGCTCATGGACGCCAGTTGTGACACAGCAGCCGCACTCAGCTGACCTTGGCCTTGTAGAGCTCCAGTTCGTTGTCAGTGATCCTCCAGGGCTCCTGGGCCTTCAGCCTCTCTGCAGCCTCCTGCTCCATGTCGTCTTCCTTCAGCCTGTACGGCTCGATCAGCTCCTTAAAACTCAGTTTACTGCGGAACAGAAACACAGACGTGTTGCTTTACAACAGCGATAGGTTCAGTTCTAACTACTCTGTAGCTCCTCAATCAGCATTTAAAACTATTTCAGATTCTTTTATTCAAAGCTGCAATGTGTAGGATTTGAAAATGTCCATCTCACTGTGAAAGATTCAACAGATCCAACCCGGGAACAGGCTGAACTATAGACTGACAAACTTCTAGCATCAGAATTATTTGAAAGAAGCTACAATCACATATAATTATCAATAGAAAGACTCTGTGTGTGTTACAGTTTTTATCCACAATCACATATAATTATCAATAGAAAGGCTCTGTTAAATCTCACTTCATCTTGTTCTTACAGTTTTTATCACCACATGAACAGAAACTGTTTCTTTAAGAAACACTTATTTTACAGTGTCTGCCAGTTTTTGTTTGGTTAAGTCTGAATGTGTCTAATTTTTTATGGAGCTCTAAAAAGGGGACAGTGTGTCCAGGCTTTACTTCCACTTTAGTGCTAAATAACACATCCATACATAGACCTGTCATTGACAGCGGCGAAGATCTAAAAAAGGTTTTGTCAACGCAGTGTCTCTAAAGATCCTCAGTCTTCTAAAGAAAATCTGTCACTTTTTCACATGGTCACATAAACCACTGAACTAAAATCATCCAGGATAAAAGCGGCTGAACTAAACTGAAGAGGATTGAAGGCCGAAGCCGACTGAGGTTACTTGTGTTTCTTGGGTTTGGTGTTGATGTCTCCGAGGACTCTGATGTCAGAGAAGTCGATCCTGAACCTGCTGAGCAGAGTGGCCATCCTGAAGAGACGCCAATAAAAACATCAGCAGGAGATATGGAGCATGTAATGAAATCACACCTGTAAATAGTGGTGGAAGAAGTACTCAAACCCTTTACTTAAGTAACACTCTGTGAAAATACTCCACTACAAGTGGACGTCCTGCAATCGAATCCTTCTTTAGCAAAAGTATCTAAGTATTATCAGCAAAACGTACCTAAAGTATTACAAGTAAAAGTGTTCATTATGCAGAAAAACGGTCCCTCAGTATGTGATGTTTTGCTGCAGTAATGTGCTTGTTGAACTTTTCTGATGTAGTTTAAAGTACTGAACTTTATCAGCTGTGGGGAACTTCATGTACTGCACTACATCATACCTATTGTACTGAGGACAGTGGACAGGAAGGCATGATGACCTCATTTAAAAAGGAACTAGTAACTACAGCTGTCAGATGTAGAGCAGTAAAAAGGACATTTCCTCTGCTATGGTGTAAAATTTACATAAAATAGAAATACTCAACCACAGTACAAGTACTTCAAATTTGTACTTAAGTACAGTACTTGAGTAAATGTACTTGGTTACGTTCCGCTGCTGCTTGTAGCTACCAGCAGAAAACGCAGCCAAGTAAGATCACAGCTCAAACGACTCACATTCGGCGGTCGTGGTCCG